TGCCCAGTGTGTATGTACACCGGTGAGTGAGTGACACCCGGTGTGCATGCACACAGCTGATACCAGTGCCCACGCAAACTTGAGTGGGTGTGTGTGTGCCTGTGTGACACCTGGAACACCAGATGTGTGTACATGTGTGTGTAGTTGCATGTTGCTGTGTGTGAGCCCGAGTCCAGGGGACTGATTCCTGGTTCCAAGTACCCTCTATTCCTTTGTGGGGTGTGAGCCGCCTGGGCTGGTCTGGGCTGAAAGATTTTGAGTCTGAAGATCCCAAAATAGCTTTGGTCGCCTGAATTCCCCTCCCCCAGCTGGGTCTGGGGCCTCAATGGCCCTTTGTCTCTGAAGACCGCCAGCCCCTGTGGGGGGCTCAGGCTGGGGCTGGGCTGGGAGGGACAGGCAGCCTGGCGGTTCCCTTTCCCCCAAGCCCCACCCCAGAGTTGGCTGGTTGGCCAGCCCCTTGTGGGCAGATCCCAGGGTCCCTGCCAGCCCCCGCTGGGTTCCCCCTGATCCCAGGCTTACCCTCCCCACACCCTGGTTCTTCCCCGCCCTTTTCACGGAGCCCCCCAGTTGCAGTGGCAGCAGCAAACGGCCTGTGGGTGTGTTCCCCGTGGGCCCTGGGCACCGTGGTCTGAGGGGCCATCTCTGAGCCAAGGGATGCGGATCCAGTCCTGGGGGGCTACAGAGAGAAGCAGATGGGAAAGTGTGTGACCCTGGGCTCCCGGCCAGTCCGTGCCCTGAGATAAAAAGTCAGACCCCGCCCTGGGTGCTCCCAGTCCAGGGCGGGGCTGGAGGAGCCACGGGCACTATCACTTGGTGTGGGCAGTGCCAAGGTCCAGCGAGGTGAGGGGCGGGGTAGGTGGGAGGACCCCAAGGAGAGGGAGGCAGCTGAGGGCTAGGGTCGCCACTGGCTGGAGGAGTTGTTGCGCTGGGTCCGCCTGGTATTGGGTGGGGGCACCACTCTGATTGGTGTTTCCTGCAAGGTGTTATTGGAACCCTGGGTTCCAGGGCTCCAAGAGTTTGAAGACCTCCACTGGGGGTGATGGGGACCCTGACGGGGGCTGACCCCGTGTGGGGTGTGGCGTTAGTGTGCCTACTGAGGGACGGAAAGGAGTCGAGATGGACCTGGGTGCAGGCAGCAGGTGGCTGCCCCTGAGGAAGGTCGAGTGTGTGGAGGAGCCCTGACAGGAGGGGGCAATGGGTGGGACCCCAGGCCTGTTTGTAAGGCAGCTGGCTATCTGCTGGGTGGAAGGCCCTGGGGGAGGGGTCTGGCTGGAGGCACAGAGGTAGGGGGGTGCTGCCCTGCGGTGGTGATGCCAGGAAGGGTCTGGGGAGAGGTCGGGGTGTGGTTAGGACTGAGATGAGATCTAAGAGGACCGGGGTGACACTGGTGGCCATGCCACAGCAGTTTGGCTGGAGGGAGACCTTCGGACAGCAAACACAGACGCCCCTCCCAAGGCCCGCGCTCCGTGTCCGAGCGTGGATGTGACTGTGGGGTGATAGGATGGCTGTGCCTAAGGGTGGGGGTGGAAGGGGATGCAGGTAATGTCTTTTCAGCTGGGTAGGGAGTCAGTGGAGGAACCAACCAGGAGGGACGCAGCGATGGGGCGGGGTCTGGCCTGACACCAAGAAGAGGGGGGACCCTGTGCTGGGGACTGTGCTTTGTCAATGTGAGAAACGTCCAAACCTGTGGAGCGCTTTTGAGTTTATTTGAGCCAAACTGACGTCAATTGCAGGGAAACAACATCTCACAGGATGAAGAAAACGCTGTGGTGTGAATTTTACAACATGTTTCATACGTTAGAGCCACAGAATCACGGGAGGAGACGTGGGGGCGGGGTAACATGAACTCCGGGTGGGAGGCGGCAAAGCGGGCAGCCTCAGACGGAGAGACACGACCTTGTACGTCGGTGTGCAGGGCGCTGAAGTGACACAGCACACGGAGAGGCTGTCTTTGTCCTGCTCTGGGTGTGCCCTGAGGGGACTATAAAGGAGAGTCTCTGGCCTCTCAAAGGCCTGTTATCTGAAGCGCAGGGCGACCTTTGTCACTGGGAGCTACGGGCGGAAGCAGGCCCAGGCCCAGGCGGTGACGCCGTGACCCGGTTTAGCTGGGAGTCTAGGATCTGACCTACACGGTCCTGGGCGGTCTCTCCATCTCGGAGCTTGTCCGCCGCCATGCAGGCCTCTCCTGAGCTCGTTAGGGCTCGTGTGTGGCCTCTTTGTCCTCCACAGCTTCCTCGCCCCCACCCCGGCCCCCAGAAAGGGCCGGTGGACTCTAGGAGGGGCCAGGGGGCCGTGGCAGGGGCCTGTGGCCAGGTCCAGGATGGAGGGAGCCAACATGGGTGGGTGTGGCGGGGGCACTTAGAAGGTGGAGGCCCGGGGTGCGAGTGAGTGAACTGTGGTCATGGAGATGCTCACCTATGGGATCCTGGCCGCCGAGGGTGGGATGTGAGTGGAGGGTGGGATGTGAGTGGTGAGGACGGTGGGGGCAGGGCACGCGTCCCCCACACCACAGCAGGCCTGGAGCTGAGGGCCTGACATCTGGGCAGGGCAGGGGCTGGGGCAGGTACCTCTGGGGCGATGTGGAGCCTCTGACCACGCCCAGCCCTGCAGTGACATCTGGGCCTCGAGTTCCAGGGGCGGCCGCTGGGGGCGCTCCAGGCTCGCGGGCAGACCCTGAGCCTGTTAACTGACCCTCATTTACATGAACTCATTTGCATGGAACAGAGCTGGGGGGCGCGAGTGGTTTGAGGTGCTGCTGGCTATTCCCAGGCGACGTGGGCCCGTCGTGGCCACCTCCACCCTCTGCATCGGACTCGGGCCACTTCCCACCCTATGTGTCTGTACTTGAGGGTCCTGCACACACGGCCAGGGTGGGGCAGCTGGACAGACACGCACAGGCCCACAGTGACCCGACAGCAGCCCAGAATGGGGCCCCTCGTGCAG